ATTGAACCGTCTGAAGGAACTAAAGCGACTAGCTTTTACCAATACGTGAGGAATTTTATGCTATTAGAACAACGCCAGACCACGCAACTCGGTAGAGACTCTCCAGAAATTCAACGTGGTTGGGAACTTTTTACTCTTCGAACAAGAGTTTATATGAGTGTTGTATTTTGAGATTAGCTCGAAAATGACAGATTAGGCCAGATGACTAATATGAACAGTCTTTTGTTAAGCCAAAAGAAAAACTGCTGCTATTAGATATTTCACTTGGATGTCTAAAAGTATGAGAATTTAGATGTTTTTGCTTTGATCTGACAAAGGCGGAATATTTGTTGTGCAAGTGTTGTGTTGAGTTCTTCCAAACAGCTGAAGCAGCTGAAATTCGCTACAACGTTCAATCTGACCGCATGAATCCATATCCAACAGTCGCCAGTTAGAGTTCTTAACATCATTGAAAGGTGAACTATGATAAAAGTGATGAGTTCATTAAACCYCTTACGATTTACCTTGTTGCCAGAAGGACCTTTTGACTGCACAGTTGCTAGTAGTTGATYAACGCTTGCTGAAYWGGCTTGAATTCCAAAAATCCAGTAGTGAAACGTAAGAAACTAACTAAGCTTCAGTAAAAATTAACAATCAGTAAGAAGTTAACTGATTTCCTTCCTGCTTYCACTCCGCAGTTATTAAGACTGTCCTACCAGTCCTACAAGTTCATCAGTCCTGCAGTTTCCWGTAATACTGCTTCAAACTAGTCTAATTATGGAGTAACTCGATGCTRGARAKAAGGACATTATTTCACTATATCTAMGCGCACAGTCAGCCCCAGCCAGGCTAATATCACTGCCCCACTATCGGTACGGATAGTCACCACTTTAAAAGAAACTGCGTTCCGAAGCAGTAGATATACTGTTTGCTAGGTTCATTGCATCTACTTCCGCTTGGTAGACGTTRACGTCGTGAGAAAACTAGAACTGATGGATAGTTTTGGAAAGTGCACTGCTACACTAACCATCCCCGCAAACTTTGATTCATTCTTAAGAAAGACCTTCTCTGCAGCAAGTCCTTCCCTGATCTGCCTCCCTAAAATATGGGTGAACAGAGAAACTACCGCCAATGCTAGGTTCGGTTATTTTGATATAAAATCAAAGTGTGCAAAGATTCCAGAGTAACCACACTCACAGTTATCTAAGTGCCCAGATTCTCTATTAGGCTCATGATAAATATTTCTTTCCATTTGCCAACGCAGAATAACTCTTGCCAACAAGGTGCTACTTTGGACTGAGTAGGCAATTGAGTAGTAAAGTTCTCTCTCGTCGAACAGAGGCTAAACTCTACAAGTCACTCATTATCCCCATGCTGCTATATTGTGCAGAGGCATCGGCGTTGGCAATATCTGATGAGTCGACGTTGCGAGTTTTCGAGACAAAAGTTCCACGAAAGATTTATGGTTCTTTGCGCGTTGGCAACAGCGATTATCGCATTCGGTAGAACGATGAGCTGTATGAGATATACGGCGATATTGACATAGTACAGTGAATTAAGAGACAGTGGCTGTGCTGGCTGGGTAATGTCGTCCGAATGGACGAAAGCTTTGAAGGTATTCAACACAATTCGCACCGAAAGAAGCAGAGGAAAAGGAAGACCTTCACTCCGTTGGAAAGACGAGTTGGGGAAAGCTCTGTCTTGGAATCTCCTATTGGCGCCAAACAAACAGAAAACAAAACACAAAAAAATCCCAAAAGAAAAAAACAACGGAAAAGAAAAACTTAAAAACCCCTGGATTTATATTACAAAGTATGCATTATGATTTTATAATTCGTCTCCTGAATATACATACGTGTATGTATGAATATTTCTTTAATATAGCCGATGCCTAATTTCACAAATTACGTGTTTGAATCAACACCAATAACGGTAATCCAATGTGGTTAWACAAAAAAAATTGGAATATAGAATCATAACAAATGGGAGCTGCATAATCCACAAAATCACATGCCTTACATAAAAAATCCAGCGAATCAACAAACAAAAGTTATATGGTAAGAACACTGGCTTGCAAATACATACACACACGCCCATATAAATGAATAGTTGCCACCACTTATTTAAACGACTGTAGCTTGTTAAAAATGCTGCTTGAAATCCCTGCAATCGCACATCACGCACACGCACACATAAACGCGAAATTATACAAGCGGAACATTGAACGGCAGCGCTAGAAAACTAGAGCCCCAAACGCCAGCGGCAATGGCAGCAACATTCCCAAATGCGTCGGCAAAGCGGAAATACGCTAAAATATGAATAAAAGCAATGTGACAACAATAAATGTCGCATGCGATTTTTTTTATTTGTTTTCGGTATATTTTCCCTTTATTGCACACTTTGCCACGCACCGTTATTGTTGCTGCTCATGCGTTTGTCATTTTATTTTATTTTTCTATTTTTGTTGTTGCTTTACTTAAGCTTTGTTTTTGTGAATTTGCTTCAGTGTTTTATGCTGTGCRCTGCTGTTGCGGCCTGTCATGTCATTTCATGGATTAAGTAATTTCTATGCGAATTATAATGGCGTTGGGAAGCGCAAACACTAACACATGCACACTTATATTTTTTATGTGTGTGCTTGTATACATTTCATTGCCCATTGTTAATATGTATCTAYAGATATTATAGCGCCTTTTTCAATTACAGCRGCTGTGTTTATATGTGAGCACATTAGGGTGTTACTGATAATGAAAAAAAGAAAAAATTCCTCAAAAACAGCTCATTCAACTATATTGAATAATATAATCAAAAATATATCCTTGAAATTTTAATGATGATTTGGAAGCTTGAAAGTAGACCAAACTTTGAACGCGCTGTGCCTATACCCTAACATATTCCAATCGAAATCAAAATTTATTTGCAACAAATTTTTATTCATTGCATTACTATTCAAAAGAAAAAATCTTGAAAAAAAAATAAAAATAAATAATTTTTGTTTTTTCAAATTTCAAGTACCACCTTAATATACATATGTACAAAAAATATAGTATGCAGTGATTAATGCGGCTGTATTTGTATTTCAAGCCAAACGGTGGAATATTTGTATGCAAAAATGCCATTTGATTCATGGAGTTAGCACAAAAGACCTAATGTTACACCATAGAGTATAAATTTCCAGCATTTTGGAGGACAAAGGATTGGATTAGGCATTTAATGCGACTTGCAATTATTTATGTTTATTATCTTTTCGTTGATCACGCTTGATACTCGAGTGCATTGTGGGTGGCGTTGCGATGTTTGATTTTTCTCAGAAAATGCTTGCATAAACAACAATAACAACAARCGATATATTGTAATTGGTAATTGAGAATATGCAAATATTGTCATTGTAGTACTTGTAATGCTTATCACCGGTGGTACACGCTGATAAATGAAATTGTTAATATATTAAATATTATAAGAGTTAGTGAAAAGAAGATTTAAAATGTCTAGAATCTATGATTAAGGAATGATCGATGAAAACTTAAAACAAAAAAAAAAAACACAAATACAATTTATCGATACAAAGTTTTTCATAGAAAAACATTTATAGATTATAAAAGTGTCGATAAAATTATCGATTAATTTTATGCTTATATTTATCGAAACTAAAATCATARATATGATGTTTGCAGCTATCGTATATTCAAATATCTATTAAAATTTACCGATTAATTCAATTTAAATTTATTTAAAAAAAAGTTATCGATAAGATTTTTAACAATCCATGTGATATTTTTTATAATTTCATCGAAATAAAAAAATATCTATMAAAATGACCTATTCATTTAATTCTTATATATTTATTAAAGTTAAATGTATCGATGTGATATTTACAGCCAGCGATAATTAAAATATTTATACAAATTTATCTATTAATTTAATTCAAACTCATCGAAATACAAATTATCGATAGGTTTTYAAAAATTTAACGTGATATTTTTATAACTTTATCGAAATTCAAAAAWCGATATTGCCACTAAAAATATCGATTAATTTAATTTTTATATATTTATCGAAATAAWAAGTATCGGTAAGATATTTGATGCTACCGAGTATTAAAGAAAACATCTATTAAAATTTATCGATTAATTTAAKTTAAACTTATCGAAATACAAATTATCGATAGGATTTTTAACAATTAACGTGATATTTTTATAACTTTATCGAAATGCAAAAATCAGTATTGTCCTTAAAAAATATCGATTAATTAAATTTTTATATATTTATCGAAATAAAAAATATCGATATCGGTAGGATAATTGCACTTAACGAAACAAATTATGGAATTGTACTAAAAATTTAAAGGAAATGTCTTAAATATGTACGTACATAAATATATTATAACAAATAAAGGTGAAAAAATCAAAATAAGTTATCGAAAAAAAGTAAAAAGATATACTGAAATTCGCGAAAAAAACTGTAAGAACATCGTTTAGATTACTTGCCCAAAAATACATATGTATGGTAATAAATTAAACTAATAACGAAAAAATATATGATATCGAAATCGATTGTGAAAAATATTTTTATCGTTTAAGAATTTCAAAGAAAATAATTTTTGTTACCTATCAAATCTAAGCTTCGGCGACCCACTTGTTGCTTTCATATATTCATCTTTTGTTATGTACTTCCGTTGAGGGGGTAAGGTTACGAGGTTATAATTTTCTAATAACACATGTGTACTATTTGTGAGTTGAAATAGCTATTATTTGGTTTCAACGTCATGTTAGTTTCTCTTAATGTGAAGAACTTTCGTAATATCAAAATGTTTAACTGTAATTATTTATAAAAAATTTAATTTAAGCGTTTTACTTTTTTTAATATAAAATCAGGTGGCAACTCTCTAAATATATTTTTGTTTGAAACTTTACCGAAATGCATTTTTACACCAATATTATACTATTTATTAAATTTATGTAGAAACTTTTTAAATTAGATAAATGTGGCAACTCTTTTTGATTTGATTACTCTAAACTTACCTTTCGCAGAAACATTTCGTTGCATTGCTTGGCGGTGCTGCGCCAATGTCTGTGGCGATAACGCGAATTGCCCAACTTCAGCGTGCCATGCAGCTCTGCCGCCTCCTCGACGATACGTTTGATGCACTGATAGCGCAGTCGATTACAACGGTAAATCGGTTTCAATGCCATTGTGCCCTGTTCGGGCTCTGATTCGGCACCGGAACGCACCTGTTCCTCGTCGTCGTCCACCCACGCGCTCAACACACCCTCAACGAAATTGTACAGCATCTGGATGTTGGCCTTCATCGGCGCCGAACCGGACGGAACTTGTTCAGTTTTGATTAGTTTACGATTTTGACAGACTTCGCGTAGYAAATTCTCACCGAAATGCACCGTTTTGTGACGACGTCGACGCGAATTTAACGATGCCGCCGATGCGGACTTCATAAGCTTACCGTTGGTGCCATTCAAATGTGACACACCGTTACCGTTGCGACCGTTATAGTAGTGACGACCATTGGCCGCGTGCGTGATGTGTAGTGATGAAGGCGGCAGCGGTGGTTGTGAGCTCGACAAAATGGTATGCGTTGGTATACCGGTAGTCAGCATAGGACCGCTCCCCACCGCGCCCATGCCGTCCTGTTGCCATAAGGCGGCAGCTGAGTCACCACGTTGCAGCGTATTCGGCTGAGAGTTGCTGCGATATTGCATGCCGGGATGACGGGGCATTTGTGGTGATGGCGTCTCCGGCGCCGGTTCGATGTCGTCGAGCGTTGTCGGCGGCTGAGCGAGTGTGGTGCGCAGTCGATTGAAATCCGCTGCGCTGCGGGGCAGTGAGTTGCATTTGGCGGCATTGAAGCATTTACGATTCTGGCAGGTGAGTAACGGMGCACACGAACGACACTCGTGGCAAATGACGAGGCGTCGCTGTGGTGCCGATTGGAATTGYTGCATCTGTTGTTGTTGCTGTTGTTGTGACGTAGGAGGCGGTGGTGGTGGCGGCGTTGGTGTGTCATCCGACGTTATGTGTGCAGGCACTGTGTGCATTTGTGCGCGCGCCACTTGTTGATGACGTGCGAGGTTGATCGTTGACGCCGATGTGGTTACTGTTGTCATGCCGGCGCCGCGTTCTATTGTTTGACATTCGAGGAAACGGCAGTGGGGATCAGTGCAAATGGGGAGCAAACGACAGGCGGGATCATTGCAAGGCGATGGCGAACGCGGCGCACGTTCGGCCGATGACGATTTGCGTTTAAGGCCGCCGTTGTGATGACCGGACATGTCKGAAACGGTAGCCGAACGTTGTGTTTGATGGCGACGCGAACGTTCACGCTTCGATTCGCGTACAGTAGAGCTGTTGGCGGCAGTGGTCATAGCGCTCTCCTTGGGAGGCAACATTATATCCTTGGCATCCTTAGGCACATACTGATAACGTTCTTTGTGCGGTTTGGCATACAAACGCTCTAATTGGCTTTGCGCTGCGGCCGAGGTGGTGGGCGCAGTCACAACTTCACTAGCGGAATGTCGCAGCTTACGTTCGCGCGAACGTTCATGTGATCGCCGCTCGCGTTCTGCACATATAGGCGGTTGTTGGTGTAACTGTGACTGCAGCGTCGGTACTGACGGCTTGTGATGCAACTCGACGAATGGCTGACGTCGATCCATCGTCGGCACCTGTTGCATTGTCGGTGKCTTGCCTAACGATTGCAGCCTATTCAGCGGATACGCAATCCAATCGAGCATCTCTTCCTCGCTGCGATCACTGTGACCCAACGAGTGCCGCTTGCGCGCCGCCTGTTGTGCGACAGTGGCATCCTCCTGCGAATGCGAACGTTGCGTATCGCCGCTGCCGTTGCGTCGATGATGTGCGCGACGCGTTTTCGGCGGTGGCGCTTCCTCACGCGCCGAGCTGCGTGACGACGTTTGCAGTTTCGTTAGCCACTCAACAATGTCGGTTTTGAGCAACGAAAACTCGCTATGTTGAGCAGAGCTCTGTCTTGATAATGGCTTCTTCAGCAGTTCAGCCAATTCCTCCTTCAGCGCCTTGGCATAGGAAGCAGCGCTCGTCTTCGATTCAGTTGGCCGTTCGGCCATGGAACGTTTGCGTGGCAAATGCTCTAAGAGCCAATCGGGCACCTCATCCTTCATTACGGTAATCTCACTAGGACCAGAGGACGTACGCACCGGCCCTCTTTGACGCGCCAACCACTCGATGGTCTCTTCGCGCACCGCACCACTTTCAGCCGAACGTGCCGAATGTCTCTGTTGCGCTTTACGATCAAACCATTCYAATTCTTCAGGTGCGCGCGTTGTACTCTTCGAGACCGGCACCTCCTCAGCGCTCTTCTGGCGGCGCGGTGGCAACTGCGGTTTGCCACTCTCCGCGCCATGACGGTGCACATGATGCTGATGCACATGACCGTGCCCATGCGCGCGATAAACCTGCGGGGGCGCTCCTGCTGCTGCTGACGCCGCAGCCGAAGCTTGTCGTGGCGGTGGCTCCGGTGGTAAGCGCACCGAACCTTTACGCTTGATYACTTTTTGTTCGATGGTGTCCTCATCACGTGCGCGCACACGCCGCGTGATCTCAAAAATATCGCCATTGATTTGGTGATAGAACTTCTCCACTTCCACGCCGCGGTCGAATTCCTCCTTTATGTGACGCACGTGTGTTTGCGATTTTATGCGTGAGGGTGGACGCGGCGGCAACTCAGGCTCCTTCTCATCATCGCCGTCACCATCCGAATCGGCAGAGCCGAGCAGCGCGCCTGAACCGCCACCATCAATGACGCCGCCCATCGAATGTACGGCTGAGGCGCTGGGTCGTTGTTGTAATTGTTGGTGTTGTTGTTGTGGCGCTAATTGCAGCTGCTTTTCCTGCTGCTGCAAGAGGCGATCCAATGAGCCATGATGTGTCTTGAGCGCCGGGTCCAGCTGACCCAATTGTGCCTGTTCCAGCGACTGCATTCGGCACTGCGCATTACAAATGCAGACGCCGCGTTTTTTGCTACCAAAACGGAAAAGACTACTCGCTAGCTGTGACACACCATCACCGAGTACACCGCCGCCACCGCCACCACCGCTGCCGCCAGCGGTTACATCCCTTCCCGAGGCCGTTGTTGCCGATGTCAAACGCGCGGACTGTGAAACTGGCGTTATGTCGACTATCACGCAACAGCAATGCAACGAGAAGGACTTCTTATCGCTGCCACTGCCGCTAACAGAATTGTTGTTATCGCTTTCGCTGTTATGTGAGGCGGCCAGAATGAGCGGCTATTCAGCACAGGCGACGCACAGGCGACCCGACGTCGACGGTGTTGTGCCTCGCGTATATCCAGCGACGTCCAGCGGCGTAGTGTAGTGTTGTGCGTTTCTATGTATGGTTTTCGTATGGCAGCGCGTACACTAAGCGCTACTGAACGTGTATGCTTGTGGTCGTTTATCAGCGCTGCGCGACTTTGTTGGGTATTTGTGGGCGCGCACCGCTGGGTTTGCGGTGACACGGTATAGGTTGAGTTATAGTTGGATTTGCTGTCGCGCCACCTTAAACGGCAGAGCGCTGAAGCTAATGTTGGTTGGGCGGAGGCGCTGRTTACTGGTGCGTTGGCGTGGTAGTGTGACGGCAATGACGCGCGGTTGATTTGTGTTTGCTGTGCGGGCGTTGGCGTTAGACGCGCGTGTGCGCTGACTGTATTCAAGTTATGGAATTGGTGTGTTAGGTGTGCGTTAAGGCTGCGTCCTTGCCGTTGGGGCGGGTGGTAAGCTTTGCTTACTTGGCGCGAAATGTCTACACTCCTGCGATTGTTGGCTTGGCTAATTTTTCTAATAGYTTTTGTGTTTGGCAATTTGTGGCGCGCTTGCCGTGCAACCAAAATCATGCCAATGTGCGTTGTGCCCTGCAGCCGTAAAYATTTACGTTCCAGCCATTGCCAGCTTGTGCGCTTAAGTTATTTACTTTCTAAATACTTTGTGCTTGTGTTTTTTTAAGTTAATTTTCTTCTATACTTAAATGAAGTATTGATTTTCGTTATTTGTTACTTTGTGTTGCCTACATTTAGGGTTTATGCAATTTACTCTAAAAAGCCCTTTG